TGATCTTCCTGCCTCAGCCTCCCGTGGAGGGAGGTTTTTGCCATTTGCCCCTGTGCCTGATTTCCTCTAAACTAACTTTCTCTCTCTCTCTCTCTCTCTCTCTCTCTCTCTCTCTCTCTCTCTCTCTCTCTCTCAACAGGGATTGAACCCAGGGGTACCACATCCCCAGCCCTTTTTTATTTTTTGTTTTGATACAGGGTCTCACTAAGTTGCTTAGTGTCTCCCTAAGTTGCTGAGGCTGGTCTCAAACTTTACCCTCCTGCCTCAGCCTCCCGAGCTGCTGAAAGGAGCCAGCATGCCTGGCTAAACAGCTCTAATAAATATCCTGCATGCTAAACCCAGAGTGTCCTCCTGAGAACTTAGCAGCCTTTTCTTTTATGAATTTTAGGTTAAAGATACAGAGAAAAAGAAAGAGCTAAAGGGTAAAAATAAACAATATTGGAAAGAAAACTAGAAACCTAACCAGAGGGTCTACAATTATTAAAAATGTAGTAAGAGGTTGATATGAATGTTTTGTTCAATACATTTGAAAGGACATTGGATAGGTAGTTTCCTAGAAAATATAAATTAGGAAACTGAGAAGACAATTTAAAACCTATGACAATTATGGGTTGAAGATATAGCTCAGTGGCAGTGCATTTGCCTCGCACGTACAATCTGTGGCAGCACAACAAAACAAAAACCCCAAAACTTCTAACAATTAAAGAAATATTAAATTTTCTCCAAATGATGCATTTAAAAGTAATTTGTACAAAATATTGGAAGAGTTGATCATTTCACATCTTTAACAGAACCTACCAGAGAAAAGAAAAAGACTATTAGATTGTGCATACGTGTGTTGTGTGTGTGGGTATGTGGTTTAATGTTGATAACGAACACAAACAAGGGCACTCTAAAGAAAAAAATCACAAGCACATCTCATTGATGGACACAGATGGAAAACTATAAAACACGTCTTAGCAAAGCCAAGTCATCACTATATAAAGGTTTGTTTCAAATAACAACCAATTGATGGCTGGGGCTGTAGCTCAGTGGTAGAGCGCCTGCCTTGCACGTGGGATCCTCAGCACCATATAAAAATAAGAAAAGCTATTGTGTCCATCCACTACTAGAAAAATTTTTTTAAAAATAATAGTCTATTGAAGTTAACCTCAGGAAAGCAACGTGCTGAGTATCCGGAACGCTGCTCTAACGTTACCAAATGGATTGATCTCACCTCCCAGGTGCCATCAGCTTTCAGTTGACAATCTTGTCATCTAAATCAAGTCCTGTCTGAAAGGAAAGTGACCACAACACTCGGAGCAACCAAAAGATCTTTATTGCAGCAGTGCAACAAAGATAAAGGAAAGAAGGAAAGAGAGAGAGAGAAAAGAGAAGAGATGAACAGGGAGAGAGCAAGAGCAAGAGAGAGACAGAGAGCGCGCGTAAGAAAGATAAAGAGCAAGAGAGAGAGGGAGAGAGAGGGGGGCCTGGCAGGAGGGAGTTTTTATAGCCCAAATCTAATGGGGCCTCTGGGTCTGCAAGCTGCCTTGTTGGCCCAAGGGGGGGTTAAGTGTTCAGCCTTAAGCAGGGTTGAATGTTCAGACTTGAGGCAAACAGGTGGTAAAGGACCAGATAGAGGGGGCTTTGAGTGCGTGGGCTATCTTGCAGCCAACATCTGTTCAGCCTGCCCTGCAGACAACACAGTTCAGCCTGCTCTGCACCCAACACTGTCTATGCAGCTCCTCCAGCGTAGCTTCTCGAGGCCAGTACACCCACGACTCCACGAGGAGGCTTTCCTCCCACCGCCTCCTGCCCGGCTCTGCTCTTGCAGCTGTCCTGTACCACGCGACTGGTAGAGGAGCTCAGGTCCATGCCAACTCTGAAAGCCAGCTGGGCAAATACTGGCAATTCTTTGACAGGTCTTCAGGTCTGCGACTGACTCTCCATGGCTTGGGTCCCACCCTCTGAGCTCTTGACTCTGTTCCCTGAATTCTTTTTTTTTTTTTTTTGAGACAGGGGCTCACTAAGTTGCTGAGGCTGGCCTGGAATCTGTGTCAGAGTCATTGGATCACAGGTGTACATCACCGTACCTGGCCCCCGAATCTCTTTTTTATTTTTAATTTCTATTTATTTTTTATGGAAGAGAGCACACTTTGTGGTCTCACAGTTTCTCAGGCTACTTCCTTCCAACATCTCCTTTCATTTTGTATTGCCCTGCTTTAAAAAAAATGTATATTTTTAAAGTTGTTGATAGACCTTTATTTTATTTACTTATATGTGGTGCTGAGAATTGAACCCAGTGCCTTACACATGCCAGGCAAGTGTGCTACTGCTGAGCCCCAGCCCCAATCCCTGCTTTGCTTTTTAAGTCCATACTGGTGGTATCTGTGCTGATATAATTCTTTCAAAACCTCTGTGGGCCAGACCATGGTGACCCACCACTGTAATCCCAGCCTCCAAATGGCTGAGGTGGTAGGACTGCAAGTTTGAACTGGACTCAGCATTAGAGAGCCTGGGTTCAAACCCCAGTCCTGGGGGCAAAGTCTGTGGCCTCCCTGTGATTTCCATTGAGCATTAGAGAAAAGAAACACAGGAAGCCTTTGGGATAAGTCCTTCTCTACCTTGGGTTCCTGCTGGTGTGCCTGGAGCAAAGCCCGGAGCAAAGCCCCGGCCCTGCTGATTGGGGCACACCATCTTTTTAAAGGTCTTTTTAAAGGACCTTTGGTGTGACTGAGGATTACTGTGGGCATCACCTTTGATCTTTTCTGATGTCTCAACAGGAGGTTTTACAGTCATACCCATAGCTACACGGTGGGCCAATTCTCCTGGGTTCAGGATTTGTTGGGAAGCCATTTTTTAAACGTAGTGTCTTTCATCATTTGGAGACATTGAGATTCCCACCAAGTACTGGTCCCTTTTCAGCAACCTTCTTTTTTTATTATTAATTTTTTTAAATTTATATATGACAGCAGAATGCATTACAATTCATATTACACATATAGAGCACAATTTTTCATATCTCTGGTTGTGTACAAATATATTCACATCAATTTGTGTCTTCATACATGAACTTTGGTAATGATGTCCATCACATTCCACCATCATTTCTAACTCCATGCCTCTCCCTTCCCCTCCCACCCCTCTGCCCTATCTAGAGTTCATCTATTCCTCCCATACTCCCCCTCCCTATGAATCAGCCTCCTTATATCAGAGAAAACATTGGGTTTTTTTGGGATTGGCTAACTTCACTTAGCATTATCTCCTCTAATTCCATCCATTTACCTGCAAATGCCATGATTTTATTGCCTTTCATAGATGAATGGATAAAAAAATGTGGCATTTATACACAATGGAATATTACTTAGCAGCCTTGTTGTTCATTTCTCTTTTGCATGTTTACTGTAAGCAGTGAGAGGGAACCAAGTGGTGCCTTCAGCATCTTGCTGGGAGACCTAGAGGGTCGCCCATCTCCAAGGGACTTTTGACTTTCCACAGGTCCAGAGGCAGCTGGGCTGTGCTTTCTGCCATCATGTACAGAATCCCTTCCCCTCCAGTTGCTCCAGGACAACAAGGTCCCTCCAGGGCACTTCAGCCTTCAGCTTCCACACTGCCCAGAAGCAGGTCCCGCCGTGGCTGGTATAAAACATAAGCACAGGTCGTCTCCGGGTCCTGCGGGTCAGGAGCCTCTGCAGAGCCGCTGAGCTGGGTGGGCCTTTTTGTCAGTGACATCCCACCTTTTTGCCCATGTATTAAAAGAGGGCCACTAGGTCCAGCCCACTCTCGAGGGAAAGGGTTAAACAGGCGTGGGGACCAGCAGGCAGGAATCCCTGTGGACCTCTCAGGGCCTGCCCTGCACACAGACAGGGAGACCTCCAGCAGCAGAGAAGAGGCAGATCACACAACTGACGGTGCTGGGAAGAAGCAGGAAGCAAGTGTTTTAAACCCACCCAAAGAATCCTCAGCATCTTGTCGGCCTGAACACCACTCCCTGCGGCCTGGGCCCCTGGCAAGGAACAGCCCGCCCTGGACAGAGTGGAACTTCAGCCACTTGACACATCCCTGTGGGACTCCAGCGCCAAGAACTGGGAGGTCCTGGCACCTCCCCCACCCGGAGCAACGGGGTACCTGCAGGAGGGAAGCAGCCCCTGGCAAATTCACTCTGGAGTCACTTAGGCCCATCTCTGAAGGGACTGAGGCGACTGGTGCCTAACACAAGGAAGTTAGAAATTAGAAATACAGGAAGAGAAGGGAAATCCCGACTGCAGGTCTTTAATTTTATGTGGATCTGTACATGTGTGCACACGCCCAGAAAGCTGCTCCCAAGGCACTCCTGAGGGTGGAGGAGCTGGCCACGTGGCCCCCTCGTTCATCCAGTTGACTGCTCAGCCAAAAACAGCCCTCAGTCGGAAACTTGGATCCAAGTGGGATCCAAAGGCAGAAATGGCCGCTGGGAATATTTCCCTGGATGGAGCCCTTATATCCATGGGAACTGGGACACAGGGACACAAACCTTCCCTGGAGGCTTCAGCACAGGCAGATGGAGAGTCAGAAAGTGAGGTGTGTGTATGTGTGAAGGGGGGGGGGGAACCCACTCAGACACCCTGCTTCCAGTCATGGATGGGGCCAGCTCTCAGGGCTGGGAACAAAATGCTGTCCACTCCCCTGCCAGCTTTCCCTGACCCCTCCCCTCAGCAGGAGGGGCAGCTTTGACAGTGGCAGTGACTCTGAGGCCTGGAAAGTGCTCCCCTCACTGATGCCTCACCCTCCGTCTCCTCTGAAACAACCCCTCAGAGAGGTGACTGACAGAACCATCAGGAGGTGGCCAGGCATGATCTAGGGTGCAGGAGGGAAGCGGAGTCAGCAGCTTCTGCCTACCCCATCTCAGGAAGGGGAGGAAGAGAGGGAGAACTGCCCTCCTGGACAGCATTTCCAGGAGTGGATCTGCAGTAAAGCTCTGACACATAACCTTTACAGTAAGAAAAAGTCTATCTTCTATTAAAATACCACATATCAGGGCTGGGGGTGTGGCTCAGTGGTAGAGTGCTTGCCTGGCATGCAAGTAACCCTGGGTTAGATTCCTAGCATCCCCCAAAAGTAAAATAATAAGGAGAACTGGGATGTAGCTCAGTGGTAAAGCACTCCTAGGTTCAATCCCCAGTACCACCCCAAAATCACATATCATGCAAATAAACAGAGCCTCATAACCACTTTACAAATAACTTTCCTTTAACAAATTATTTCAGTTCATAGGCATAGTTTTGAGCTTCCTTATTTATTTATTTATTTTTTTAGGAGATTACTAAAGATGGCTTCCTAAGTTAAAAAATATATATATGTTGCAGCTAGAGAGGTAAAATTGTTAATTTGTGCAAATTTATATAAAGTACTCATTTCAAAGGTCAGTTTTTAACATTTATCATATAATAGAAAAATCTCCTGTTATTATGTGAAAACTATACAAAAACACCCTTGCTGGTTTGCTTGTTTCAGGAACTCTGTCACCGTTCAGCTATGCAGGTATTCAGACAAAACATCTCAACCTGGCCAACACTGGCTCCCCAAAGCACTTCTGCCAAAACACTCCCTACCAGCTGGACACCCTTCCCTCTAGTCACCAGCTTGTTTCCTGGAGAATAACTGGAAGCAGTGTGTGAAAACCTTAGGAATTACAGATTTACAGGTAAGTCAGACAGACACTCTAAAAACCATCAACTTCTATAGCCATTTTTTTTTTATTTCCAATTTTCAGTGGCAGAAATCGATTAGATGCCAGTTACAAACAGGCAGCTCTGAGCTCTTTGTGTGGGCAGTTGTCCCCCTCCAACAATATCTCCTTTCAAACCAACGTTGTGTATGTCATAACTATATTTAGAATAACGCCGAGGAAAATCTTACTGCTGCAATTCCAGGCTGTGAAGGAGAAGGAAACACGAGAAAACCTCCGGCAACGGCCCACGTAAAAGTTCAGGTGGCCGTCCTCAATCAAAGCAAACATCAACCGGGTGCTAATCACAACAACACAAGTCCATAACAAATTCCAATGAAAGAAAAGAGGGCATTTTCTCCACACAGGGGGAAATGAGCTTTTTTTGGTTTCTTCTTGTAGCGCAGTCAGAGGTAAACAAAGTGGCACAGTTTGGGCCAGGGTTGGGCAGGCAGGCGGCCCGAGCGCTGTCGGAGCTGGTATGCAGAAGCACACACTTGTCTAGGCGTGGGAGCTTTCTTTTAAAAGGCACTGAGCACCGACACTGAGCTTCAGAAGTCACGAAGCGCGACCGACGCGGTAGATCACGGTGGCACACTAGCCGATGAACCTCTCGGACGGCCACGTATTATGGGCGTTGACCGGGACGCGGGGCGCCTCCTCCGGCGGGGCCAGGGCCTCCATCTCGCGCACCACCTGCGTGAACACGCGGTCCACCATCATCTTGCTCTTGGCCGTGACCTCCAGGAACGGGCAGCGCCACTCGCGGGCCAGCGCGCGGCCCTGCGCCGTCAGCACCTGGCGCTCGGCGTCCAGGTCGGCCTTGGTGCCCACCAGCACCAGCGGCACGGCCTTGGGCCCCCGCAGCCGGCCCATGCGCTCGCGCAGCGGCCGCACCGCCTCGAAGGAGGCCTCGCTGCACACGCTGTAGAGCACCACGAAGCCGTCGCTGTTCCTGATGTATAGGTCCTTGAGGGTGACCAGGTGGTCCGCGCCCACGGTGTCCACGATCTCCAGCAGCGCGGGCGCCGCGTTCACCTCGATCACCTTGCTGAACAGCTCTTCCACCGACGACTCGCAGCGCTCGGGGAAGCGGCCGCACGCGAACTGTGTGGCCAGCGCGGTCTTGCCCACGTCCATGCTGCCGAGCAGCACTACCCGGTAGCCCTTGGCTGGGCGCAGCACCAGGCCCGCCATGGCCAGGAGCGAGGGGACGCGCGGCCTTAGGGCGCGGGCAATGGCGCGCGGAGGCGAGGGCGGGCAGGGGGCGGGGTGGGTTTGGGGGCGGGCAGGGGGCGGGGAGGGCGGACACGGGGCGGGGTTGGAGGGCTCCCCCGGAGGCCCCGCGAACCTCTTCTGGGGCCCAGCAGGGGTGGGCGCCTTCATTGGCGCCTGGACCTGCTCCCGCCCGGCCTGGATCTGCCCCTGCGGGTCGAGGTGCACCCACCCACCCCAGCCACCGAGACCGGGGGCCTGGCTCTCCGCCTCTTGCCTCCCGCGTTTCTCTCAAGTCTCGCTCCGCCCCGGCCCGGCGTCCTGGCGGCGGCCAGCCCCACCAGTCCCTTCTCTAGGCCTCCCCTCTTCCCCCAGCCTCCGGTCTTGGGTAGATCCCCCGGAGCTGTCAGGCCCTTCTCGGCCTTCCCCTCATATGCCGCCCACAGGTCTGCTGGGGCCCCCCAGTCAGCCCCTGGCCCTGCTCTGCTTACTGGGGGAGCCCCTCTGTCTGCGGATCAGAAGGTAACCTGATTCCTTCCAGGCCAACCCAGGAAATTCAGGGATTTCTCCAGCATTCCAGATGCAGCCTGGTGGACCTAGCCAGGCTGCCGCTCAAGGTCAGGCCTGGCTGGGCCTGTAGCTGAGGCGCTCTGAGCAGGAAGGACCCCAGGCTGAAGGGCAGGTGAAGGAGGAGCCAGCCAGGGAACTTCACACTGAGGGTCCCTAATACCTTGCAGCCTTGAAGTCCCTGAGCAGGGACCTGGGATCTTTATAAACTGTCAATCACAACCTCCCCAATTAAACCCTCCCAGGTTTTCCACTGTGCCCTCCTGATAAAATCAAGAATTTTCACTAGGGCCTAAGAGTAGAATGACCAAACCCAGGTCATTTTTGGAAGTGCAAAGAGTGCATTCAACAGTGGCTGTGGTCACCACCCACCTCCTTAGATCCCTTCTACTCCAGTTGGATAATTTACTAATCCTTGATTTCCTAGCACCCTGAGGGCAGGGCCCCAACTGCTAGGATTGTCTTCCTAAGCGCCTCTGCCCCGGCCTGGTGCAGAAGCAACTGCCTTAGGACTTAAGAGCCCCAGGGTGCCCTCGTTGAGAAAGGCTAAGCCTGCACAGCCCTTTCTCCAGTGTGGAATATCCCTCAAGCTACCCTGGCTTCCTCCTGTGCAGCCTTGTCTAGGAAGGGCCCCAGCAGGGGTTGAGGAGACTGTCCTGACTCCTGGGTGACAGAGGCTCAGGGGCAAAATTTTAAGTGCCCACAGAATACATCCTGCATAGCGGTGTTTGTGGTCAGCCACACAATGTGCTTTCCTGTGAACACTGCAGAGAAGGTGTTGGTGTACAATCAATCCGTCATACATTGGCGATTACAGATAATGTGGTTTCTTAAAAAAAAAAAAAGTAATCTTAAAGACTTTTTCAGATTGCCAGGTAACAAAACTAGGGCTCAATCTGATAAATGAATCACCGCAAATGTTCCCTGGAGAAACACAAGTTTGGTTTCAGCTACTTCCCACAAATGCTTTGAAAGAACACAGAGAATCCACAGCCCAAAATGTCACAGAGCACAAGAAAATTGCTGAGTGAGAACCACTGGGCTGTGCAGCCACAGCCATAGCTGGAAAACTGCAGCACTGGTATTATCAGGCTGGAAATAGTTACATCTTATGTGTTTAAAGAAATAAAAAAGAAACAAAGTAACAACCACCAGAGAGCAAGAGACTGTGGGGGAGGGGCAAGTAATTTGAAAGAGACCCCTCCCCTCAAAAAAATCCTTCTAGGAATGAAAACTATGAAAATTTTCTATTTTAATTCATGTAATATGTCCATTGCTATGTATGATGTTGTGGTATAATAAGGAATCTACATTTGAGGCATAAATTATCCAGGGGCCTGTGCTTGGGAGCTAGAACTTGGGAGGCCCAGAGTAACGTCTTTTTTTTTTTAAAGAGAGAGTGAGAGAGAGAGAAAGGGAGGGAGAGAATTTTTTTAATATTTATTTTTTAGTTTTTCGGCGGACACAACATCTTTGTTTTGTATGTGGTGCTGAGGATCGAACCTGGGCCGCACGCATGCCAGGCAAGCATGCTACCGCTTGAGCCACATCCCCCGCCCATAGGGCAACATCTTTTAAGAAGCCAGCATTCCCAGTAATCACCACCAGCACCAGATGATGTGTCTTCCCAGCAGCAGAGCAGCCCATTGACACTGGAGAGAGGTCCAAGAAGTCCCCCAGAAGGGAGAAGGGGATCTCACCTCACCCTGGAAGGAATTTCAGGAAGTGTCAAAGAGGCATTAAAAAGGTTTTTTTTAAAAAGGAAAGCAGATTTCTTCAGGAAAGCATCAGTAGAGCGGGACACACACTCAGAAGGAGTGAACTGTGCTTTGGGGTCTTGGGCTCTTTCTTTTAGAGGAAATATGGTAAACAATGCCATGAGAAGTATGTGGGAGAGACATCCTCCAGCGGGCTCAGCTCTCCTATTGATGGACTGGGGTCTGGTCTTTCAGGGAGTCTGGGTTAGGTCATCTAGTTAATAGATGATGTTTGGCATACACCTGGATCATAAGTCTTTAACAGCATTTTCCCTTAGCTTTATTTAGTCTGAAAAAAGTGCTTGTGTAAGCCAGCAATGTATGTAAGCATGAATCATCTAGACTCGATACTCTAAGATGCTTGGCTTTTTAAGAATTTAGGAATTTATGTTAAGGAAAACAGGCATGGAAAGTAAAGGTGAGGGTGTTTAAGGAGCTTCTTAGAGTAAAAGTTGCAGTTTCATGGTTTGGTCCTGTGAGCAGCTGGGACACTTCTCCAGGTCCATGGTGGCCTCCAGGTTGCACTGTCCTGACATCCAACACCAGAGGCCAGCTCTGCCTGCTCACCTACCAAGCAGGACTTAAGATGAATGTGTAGCTCACCAATTAAGCAGGACTCCACGAATGTGCTGCTTTGATGCTTTAGGATGTCTGATTACACCATAATTGCAAACATTGGTCCTAAAGATGAGTCTGAATTCTACAAGCCCCAAAAGAGTGCACTTTCCTATCTCACAAGCCAAGATAGATAAGTAATTCAGCTTTGTCTTTTAGCCCATGTTCAACACCTCGCTGCTCTTCACACAGTGTGAGCTGAAGTTGTGCACCAACAAGGAGAAGGACCTCCAGAAGCCACCAGGCCTGTGTCTCCCAACAAAGCCTGTACCTCAACGGATGCCTTCATGATTTGGGCCATGACGCAGAAGAAAAAGAAGTTCATGCCAGGTGTGGTGATGCACGCCTGTAATCCCAGCTGAGGCAGGAGGATGGTGAATTCAAAGCCAGCCTCAGCAATTTAGCAGAACCCTGTCTCAAAATAGAACACAAAAACGGCTGGGGATATGGCTCAGTGGGTTCCATCCCTGGTATGAAAGAAAAGAAGGAAGGGAGGGCAGAGGGGAGGAAGGGGGAGGGGAGGAAGGGGACGTTTGCCATGCTCTGGCTGTGACCCACCAAGCAGAATTTAAAGAAAAATTTCCAAGCATTAAGGCAAAATCTAGTTCCCCCACAGTTTTTCCATGGTTGGGACACCCTAACTGTGATGGGTACTTGTGACTGGAGCACCCCTGCTGGGGATCTTGTGGTCCATCTCTTCCTACATGTGGGGACAGCAGGAAGGCAGCACTGGCCTCTGAAGTCAGCAGTGCACTCAGTGTGTGCCCTGCTCCAGGGCAGGCCCAAAAGGTGATCTTCTCCGCCAGCCCCTCACAGGCTGGTGATTTCTATGTGAAACACATGCCAGTAAGTGCTTCTTTATCCAGGTGACCATAATTTGGAACCCTGAGTTTTCACCAGGCTCAAGGAGATGGTAAAAGGACAATAGTAGTCAGCAGAACCAATGAGATGTGGCCAAAGATTCTGTTATGCCTGAACCAAGACATAAAACAAAAGAAATGCTTTAAGTTTTTCTAAGTGCTCCCCTGTGGCTAATCTGCACCTTTGTCTGATGCACACTCTGACGTTGCGCACTCTGACCTGCCACGCCCTGCGAGTCCCACGTGTGGCTGTCTGGGTGCTGCTCTTGGGGATTGCATCCTGCCACGTGTGAAGGCAACATTCCTTTCTTGTGCCCTGGGCCAAACCCAGTGTGGATTACCTTGTCGGCTTCCTGTTTCTCCCCACAGTCACACACACCAACTGAGAAAATGTCTTCATGCCAGAGTTATATTTCCTTAGGCATAGAGAAATTGAAAATGGCCAAAATCTGGAACTATAGATTTATGTCCACCTCTGACATTTTTTCTGATAAATTAATGTCTAAATTGGGGCAAGAATCAGTTATTGAGAAGGAATATGTGAGAGAATATATGTGTATGCGCCTGTAAGTATAAGTCTGCAATATGTTGTTTGTTACATATATTTTCTTAGCTGCTGAAGAGAAAACATCCATTCCCCTTTTGAAAAATTTCTATTTCCAGAGTTGGAACTTATTCTTAAGTTATACTTGGTAGAAAGAGCATTTTTATTCAAAACACATCAACCGTTCTAATAAGCCCTTTTGTAAAAACCAAACTCTACGAGACACAAGTGCCTGGTGGATCCTGTTGGAGTCCTCTAGGGCATCTGAATAGTGTCACCAATTCTGCCCACACAGGACTGATACAGGAAAAAGGGCACTCATCTGGATTGCTTTAGTTCTCCTGCCTTAAATAAATCCAAACTCAAAAAGCATTTGAGGTGAATGTCATTAAATGGATTGGAATGTGCCTCTTTACAGCTAAAAAAAAAGAAAAAAACACATAGATACCTTTATGTTAAAAAAAGAATGCTGAGGAGTATATCCATGCAGATTTATTTCTGAAGATAGCTTCAATGCAAATTAATCAGTATACTTTTTCCAAAGTTCCCCCAAATGGCTTAGGATTCCATAAATAGAACAAATTAGATTCTACCCCCAAATATTCATAAGTAAATCCCACTGCTCTTAAAATAAGGCAATTGTTCCTGGTCCTCTGTAAATGGAATCTTACCTAGTAAATGCTGATGAAACTCCAATTTTT